TCTTTGCTATATCAATCCACAAGCGATTCTCTCAAATATTTTAATTACTGTTAATGCTCTTTACTCGGGCTACGACATTTCGCGGGTCAACTTTCATTCCTGACGCAACATGTACAAAGTTTCACGTCACTACACACCGTTCTGACAACACAGCCACCCGGTTTCCACAGTTTCCTGATTTTTCTTAAGTTCAATTAAAACACTCGTAACGAGTTCATCTAGTTTCATACCAACATTCTTGTGATTTTTTCTGCGTCAATAAAACTGAAGAAATTTCCTTTAAATCGTGTCAATAATTATTCTTGGTATTTTGTTATTATAATTTGTACGTGATAATTAAACATGACTTGTAGTGATTCCTCTTAGCACAACATTTCAATATGTTGACTTTGTTGAAATAAAAAGCGATTTATACATATATGCTAAGTTATTTTCCGTCCTTCGTTTATTTATTTGAAATTACACGCAGTCGATTTTCAGCCGCGTAGATCGTAGAGGCGCGTCGGTCTGCGCGCTTAAGGGCAGTAGGTCGTTCCCGAAATGATCAGACACCCGGCCCGTGTCTGACCGATGCGACTACTATTTCTGGCAAATTATTCTGGCCTCTCTATGTGGATAAGTTTGACCCGAACCGACTCGCACCACCGTGATTATCGTTAGTTTTAACCAAGTTTTAAACATATTCCAATAAAATGTTGAATGTTTATTTTGAAAATATTCAAGCTTCGATTATTCCGCTAGAATCGAGGGTAGAAGATGTTTTCGATACGATCGCGGTTGGAAACTATCGAGCCTCCGCTTCGAGGTTGGAAAAAAGTGTCGTAAACAGGCATGTTTGCAATCGCCGAGGGGGTATTCGGGTCGCCGAAGTTACGACGTTATTTGGACGAAATTTCGCGATTTTTCGAAATTACCCTCCTGGCCACCTTCGCTCTTTTTCCTCGCGATATATTCGACCTACGAATTTGGCAATGCATCGCGGCTATTTTTGCGGATTTACCGGTCGAAATAGGTCGTTCGTGGCTGTCTGCGGTAGAAAAGCAAACACGGTTTTGGGCTGGCCTCTGAACATGAACAGAAAGAAAAAGAAGGAAGGAGTGCTCGATAAATCTTCGTCGAGACGTTGAACAAATTGAACGGCCATCACGTTTCTTTGTTTAAGCAAGCGCTAAAAGTAACGTACGACCGATTTACGATCGAATAAAAAGAAAAACAAAGAAGTGGTACTTTTACAACCTATCTAAATAATTCCAACTGAAACCTTTAGTGTAAAATATAGAATAACCGGTAGCAATTTATTTATTTCTGACAAGGAAGAAAGTAAGCAAAATGGAGAAGATCGTATATCTTCAGGCTTAGACAAATTTTACCTAGACACTCGCGTAGCAGATTCGAAAACTAGAAACCAAGGTACTTGTTTCTCGTAACGTGGAAATAAAACGTAAAACAACGTAGACATAATTCGTCGGAGTAGTAATTACCGTTCGACTATTCTGGTTCCGCGTTGCTCGTCGGTACCGTCTTTAATTTACCTACTAGCAACAGTTTGGCAACGACCTCCGTCTATTTACGGATTACTAACATCGAGACCGGACACGACTCGTTCCGGCCTCTCTTCGAGTGGGTCGAGTGCAGTAGTCGCTCGTGGCGACCCGCTTTCAACCGGCTACGTTCGTTCATGGACGAAATGAGTCATTTGAAAATTTTGCGTTTATCGAAACGCATCACTTCCAATTAGACTTGCGTATCTCTGTCATAAATTAGAATATCATCTTAGCTAAAGTCGAATTCAGTTTCGACTCACGAGTTAAGTTCCGGTAACCGAATTTTCGAATGCACTTGCAGCTGATTTCAACCCCCTATGGTTTCGTCTCAGTTGTCAATTTAAATTGTTCCTCCAAGACACTTACGTTTTATAGGATCATTTTTAATGACCTCCGCGTTTATTTAAGGATTCGCGACAGAGACCGGATGTGGCTCGTTCGGATGTCGAGTGGGTCGAGTGCAGTGGTCGAGCGTGGCGACCCGAATTGCGCCGAGTGCGCTCCGATGAAACGGATCAAATGGGTCACGCTCGAACGAGTTCTCTAATTTTTCCTGTCGGACGAACACGATTCGCGAGCGACCTGCATCCATCGAAAAATAAAAAAATAAAAAAAGATAAAAAAATCGCGACACGTTAGTCGAGGTCGAGATTACATAAAATTAAAGTCGTGTCATTGTTTACCAGACTAGACGCGGAGGTGTAGCGTTAAAAGGTTTCCATCGACGATTCACCTCGATTCGTCGATTTCGTGGAACGCGTCGCGAGGAAAGAAAGCAGTTTGCTCGCTAAAGTTTCTGCTCTCGCAACCGTCTCACGTAGGGCAATCATTGTGTCGAAAGGTATACTGGAAAAGCGAAATCAAAAAGCCACGACGAGTCTCTCTTCTCGTAATGAGAAATAGTAGTAACTGGCTACTTTCGGAATTACTCGCCGGGACAAATATTGAGTGGTGCGAGCAAATATTCTCGCTCTGACGACGTCAAATATCCGACTACGAGCCTCTGCTAGACTAAAATTCCCTTCCTTTGATATAATCCTACCCCTGTGATACATGGTGTCGAGAGGATAATGGTCATTAACGAAGGAGGGTAGTTTTATCAAATTTCTTTTTCTTACTTTTCATCCCCCAAATGTTAAACGACTCTTTCAAAGATATTACCTGGAGGATCGTCCCGGAAGCGGGGTCCAGGAAGCAAGATTATCCGAACCGGTGGTGGCGCAATTTTGCGCAATGCAGTCTGGTGTGCTGGAAACACGGTGTCTACGTCGAGCAGGTCGACGATGGTCGATTCAGGGGGATCCAGGCGGCGCTGTTGGCGGGACGATCGTGTGCTGTAAAGGTGGGTGGGAGGATTTGTTTGTAAACAGAGATCGCGGCAAGTCGCAGATCGTGGTTGTAGAGGTGGCAAACGGTTCGACCGGGGATACGTTGGAAGGACGCCGCGGTGACGGGAGCAGGAGGGGAGACTTTCTCCCTCCGAGGGGTTACGTAACCTCCACAACGCGCGCCTGTCGGCCGTCTGAGCGTTGCGGGAACGACCTACTTGACCCACTGTCCCTAAGCGCGGCCTCGCGGATCGAGGCATCGGGGATCGGGTCGCGACCAACGTTCCACTCGACCCACTGCCGAAAGACACCGGAACACGAGGGTAGTCGTCAACGACCGACCCTCCCTTTCTCTCTCTCCCTCCCTCCTTCATTCTTTCATCCACCTTTTGGCAGTTTTAGGAAATTGGGAGAGACGCGTCTGGTTCCTTCGGATGACTTTCTGGTACACCCTTCGATCTGTATCCAGGTGATTTCCTGAGGGGTTGATAATGGCTGCCTTCGGGAATAAAATAAATACTGATGTAAGATAATTGAAAATAATTTCTTCATTAAAGAAGGCTCCCATCGTGGACACCAACGTGGCCGTTAGATGGTTGCCGTGGTAGGGACAGGGATAGCAAGAGAAAGGGAGGAGGATCGGGGAAAGGAGACTGGACGAGGAGAGAGAAACACCGCTTACTTTACTTTTTACAGTCGCGTTCCAGATTCCTTGGAATCCGGCGTGCTCGTAACTGTAGTTAATTGTTTAGACGGAGCTCGATGGCCAGTCACCTTTTACACGGGGACTGAATAAAGGAACGCCACGCGATCGGAACGTGCTCGTCTTCCGGTCTAGGTATGCCTCGGCGACCTTACGGGAATTCGCTTAGCTGCGCGGACATTGTTTCCATGACTTTTACAGATCGATCAAATGCGGTACTGTTGATGCTTTTGCGATACGATCCGATCGCGATGAAGCTGTTGTGGTTTTTAAATTGACCCAGTTACCTGGCCTTTTCTTGTGAAACTGAATCGTCTGGCGTGACGATTAACCCTTTGATACTTTGCAAATTAGATTGAAGTAGATTACACGTTGATAGGAAGAAAAGTAGAATGGTTAATCGTTAGATATTTAGTAGGACAAAGTCGTATGCACGAGACCGGTATATCCGCTTCGAAGAAGAGGTCTGATGAGACGCGCAGGCATTTCAGGGGGCTGGTTATTTAAGGGTAATTTACTTTCAAAACAGCAAACCGACTGTCACGACGATGTCCGCCAGGTCGAGATCTTCTCACGACGCCGATTGTTCGTATTGGATCGTCCTTAGTCTAGACGTAGCTCTCCTATCGCCACCACTTTTCCTCGTATACATTCGTTCGACTGTAAATATCCGGGTCTCTCCGTGCTCTCGATATCTCTGCTGGAAAGTTTGGTCAAACGATTCTTGCCGGACTAATTTCTTGATCGAGGAAAGTACGGAGTAGAAGAAACGTTTAGGGAAACGTACGAGCATTTGCACGACGATGACGAGAACGATCGTCGGAACTTTAGTAGATTGAACGGACTAGACGACTCGGATGAGATGAGTTTTCTAATGATGATTTGAACGGTTGTTGGAAATCATCTGTCGTATGATGAAATTGAAGGAATTCTTCAAAGATGACGGGATAATTGAACTCGTTCATTTGTTATAATAGGTAATCGATGATTAACCCCTTCGCCTATGATTTTTTCGATAGTTGCGTCAGACAGAGCTAACTGCTTATTGCTTGAATTTTGAAACAAATAAAGAGAAATGGAATATCATGCCTATATAACATTCAACGATCCCTGACCGAGCAAATTAGAATTAGAATTAAATTCAAAATCCAAGCAAATTTAACAGATTTGAACTGTAAATTGCGTCACGATTGCGACACGATGTTGTAGGGCAAGGGGTTAAAAACAAAAAGGTAGGATAGTGGCAGGTGATACCTAAGGATGACGTATGCATATATCCGTCTCGTCGAGGATCGACGGTTCCCTGGAATCTTTCAGGAAAGTGCACGAGTCCAGGCGAGCGAGCGAGCGAGCGAGCGTGCAATTCCGCATCGCTCGGGACGGACGCGAATTTCACACAAAACATAAGCCGCGTATAGAAACGTAGACACAGTGGCCTAGACAAGTAGGTCGCGGCGCAGTTCTCGCGACACGAGCTCGCGTGCGCGAGACCGCGACGTCTGTGTCGGTGTGCACAGCTAGGCGAGTGAACGCCGAGCGAAGCGTGTCGCTGCGAGTGTGACCGTGCTCCTACACCATCGCACACGAACGCGTCCACGTATGTATATCCACGACATTACATAAACTGGGTGCTTTTGCCGTCCGACATTCTATCGGTTGCTTCAAAAGTTGAGTTGCTTCATTTTTGAAAACTACTCTTTTTTAAATTATTATTTGGTACCCAATTTCATTCTCTGCCTTTCTCTTTACAGTCTGGAGAATAATTAACTCCCGGACGACGGACCATGGCGAGAGCCCCAATTTCATTCTTCCATCCGATTGTTCAAAAATAAATTCAAGATCAACAGGGATCATTAATGATATTATAATTGAACTTTTTAATACAATGCTTGTTCATTTGTGTCGGGGAAGTAAAAGAAAAAGAAAAAGAAAACTGCGCAATCTAAGGTGAAATAAAGTTACCATTCCCTTATGATTAATTAAGGGCCTCACAATTTTGACCCTCTCCTTTTTTCTTTCTTCTTTGTACGCATGTATAGAAAGAGTATACGTAGATAATTTGGTACGGAAAAGCAAAAAAAAAAGAAGTCATTTCAGAAGACTGATGATCTTTGTTAGAACGAAATGCTGTAAAGGTTAATGAACTTGGTTGCTGAAGCTGATTCTCATTGAGACACGAGCGATCAAGAGGATAGGTAGATTAGTAAATCCGGAAACAGCTAATACCATTTGGTACGGTCGCATTAGTCAAAAAGTCAAGACCACCGACGAAAGGAAAGAAAAGCAACGTTCATTAGCACTTGCTTAACACGTTGATTGCCATGGTGACGCAACTTTGGAAATTAGAATGATTAAAGACACGAACGTTTAATTATTCAATTTAACATTTCAGTTTGCCCCATCACGACGTTTAACTAATGTTAACTTTTGCAATTTTCTTTTTATAATTCTTCAATTAACCCCATCGGCGCAGAGTTCCACAGTAACCACAGAACGTTATTTAATATTACCCAACTCTAAATTATACATTGTATCAGCAATCCTCGTTATTTAAATAAACAATACAAATACGTAGCTTGGTCTAGCGTTATTTTCTCTGCAGTTTCTCGCGGGATAGCCGAGCAGCTTGATGCAGGAAATTGGCTACCGTGAATCCCCCGGGGAATATCAAGTAAATCGAGACGAGGATCGTGTTGGTACCGGTAATTAGCAGTTAAACTACACTGTCGTTTCTCACTGCTGGAATTCGTCGAATCGTTGCGTCGCGATCTGTTGTTTACACGCGTCAATTGCCTTCTGCGGCTTCCCGAAGAACCGTCCGACCCATTAGCGGGGCAATCAGATTGCCAGAGTGTTACGTCGCGAGGCTAGTGCGCAGTTAGTTCACGATCGATAGTGTATTTTAAGGGAACTGTTTAGATAGATGCATCGTTTTACACCGATCCTAACCTTGTTCGCAACAGATCGATCGTTCTTACCATTCCATTCCTCCTCGTGCTGATTTCCACCATTATTTCACTATGGTCAACTTCAACGAAATCGTTCAAATATAAAGTTTAACGTTTCTCCTCTGTCTGTTTGTATATTATTTCCAACAAGCGCATGAAAATCGCGTCGAGAGTTGATGGAAACGAAACAACACGAAACTGGGTTAAAATGTCGCTCGGATCGACGAAAGGGAACCTTGAACGCTTTTCCTCGCGATTCCCCCAGACAATTTTCCAGTTTCGTGCAAAGTTGCGACCCGCGTTACGTAATCCTCGGATAATTTCGTTGCTTTTCCGCGCTCCGTCGCCTTTCCCCGTGCTTTTCCAACGAATTTCCCATTCTCAGTCGCGCCACGTGTTCGAATAAATTGAATGAAGCGCGTGGCACGACGATTTTCCAGCGAATCTGGAAATTGAAAACAATAACGATGCTTACGAATCGAGAGGCTGTTAACGGGTTATCGATTAACATTTATAAAAAATAAAAAATCAGGCTCGTGAAGCATGTAAATATCGCTGTAAACTGATAATAGTCAAAGGGTTAACACGATCCAGCGTTCCATTGTGATTATACACGCTCGACCGGGTAAGAGAAAGTCGGCAAAGATTTTCGGCGCGTGGGAGAGAAATTAAACCGAGATCGTAGTCGACCATCGAATCACTGAATTTGCATTCTCCTTTAACGATTTCTCACCTCTTCGAGGTACCTGTGTTATCTTATTCGCGTCGAGCGTTCTTCGATAATGCTTCCGGTACCGGTACCGCGTCCCCATGGCGAACCAAAGAATTGGAACTTACTGCGCAATCACGGCCAATTAATCGGTGACGAATCGAAAATTCAGCGATCCCTTTGTCGTCGCGAAATCCGAGGTCCGTTCATGTTAATTAAATTTAATTGATCATCGGCTTGGCGCCACGTTGCTTTCAACATGGCATCGTATCAAAGGGAGCCGAGCAGTGCCAACAGACACGTCGTAATTTATCCTCTGACCGCGTAAGAATGCTCGACCGACAGCAAACCCATAAATTTTTGTTCGCGTTCGCGGGAACGCGATCCGAGGGAAATCGAAGCCACGGCTCGAGCAAACAGCTGCTCGCCCCGATAACGGCGCGCTTAAACGTTTTCCCGCGAAAAATTGCCCTGGAAAATTTTTATTTCCCTCGCGATTAACGAGGATTTAAGTATGATCACCGATTCACCCCCTTTCATCCCCTTTCGTAACCGCCAAGTAGACGATGATTCGTCGATCGAACGATTTCGATAAGAGAAACGGCTTTCTCTCGGCTATTTCGATCGTCGACTCGAGAAGCGGTTCGCGGAATAAGCGCCAAGAAAACGGCCGACTCGCAATGGCCTTACCTGCATTTCGATACGCAACCGTCCCTACGTGCTTAGCTAGGCTAGCTAACCGGGGATCCCGATTATTTACGTGAAGGTACGCGGATCGCTGGCAACGACGAGGCAAGCTCGACCTCCAGCAAACGACGCCGACGACCACGACGACACGGCCATGTAGGTACGTGCAAACCGCTCCGAATCAGCCAGTAAAAACATGGAAGTAGGCCAGATAGTCGGCGAACCAGACCCCCGTCTAGATATTGCGACGCAATAATTCACCGTAAACTTTCGACACGCTGGGACAATTTGCACCGACAGTCGCTCTACCGACTGGTACCTTCATTTCTATTTCTCTCTTGCTGTTCCTCTCATTATTCAGTGATTCTAAAATTTGGAAATTCTAACAGCTGTTTACAAAGCTGGCACCTGGTCTGGAAAAAATCCTAATTACATCTATGATTACACTTGCCATAATTAAGTGGCTATTCGTTGTCAAAACTTTCAGAGTCACGGAAGCAACACGAGTGCACAGAGTGCGTGGCATTGGAACGGTAAAGAGAAAAAAGGTAAACGAGGCCCACGAATGTCCCGGGTTCCGTTAGAACGGGGACGATCGTTGAAATATTACAGTGGGACGTTGATGTTTGCCGCACTACTTTGCAGAGAATGCGAAACGTGGACAAGAATTTCTCATTTATGGTTCGGAAACGCCGCGGGCTAGTACAGTTAAGCTGTATTGTGTAATATTGGTCGAATCGCAGGCATTCCATCGATGATTACGCCAGTTGTTCAAGCGGTGGCCACCTTTTAATAAACGAAACCAAACCTATCAATATGCTCTTGATATCAATTTTTTCAAAGTTTCTACACCAAAATTGTATCTTAATTACTATATCGCTATTGTGCTAATTTAAAATAGAATTTTTAACACGTTGAACGCCATGGGGGTTCACCGGTGACTGGCTACGCAGATTACAAATAGAATTCAAATAGAAAGCTTGAAATTTTAACTATTTCTATTCTTAATAATTCACCCTTTCAGTCACGAATTATTTTTTTCTTGAAAAAAAATCGAGGCTTTGCTAAGCAGTTTTTTGAATAAAATTATGATTTTTCAGTGGTATAAAATATCTCCAAAGAGGTCCTCGACGGGGGTGTAACGCGTCCGTATGAGGATAATGTTTAGAAACGGTAAAATTTACCGAATTTAAATATACCAACCATTTATATAGTATTATATAGTATGCTTTGATATGAGGAAGGAAGGCATAAGCCATGAGTGAAAGAGTTAGAGCAGTGTTTCCCAACCTGGGGCTCACGCCCCAAAATCAAACATGTTTGATTGCTAAGGGTGGCAATTAAAAAATGGACACGTCCAGAGTTTTAGTTAACCGTATGGCGACTCTCAGTTCCTACTTTGCAGCAAGCATCAAGCGCAAGGATCTCACTAAATATAAGTAATAAATAATTACTAATAATTGAAATAATTAAAATAAAGTAATTAAAATGTTTTGAAAATTTACTTACTGTGTTTCCTCAACAATTTCCTAGCGATTTATTCCTAAAACCCATTTAAGTTTCTTCATTATTCTTCATTCTATTAAAAATTATGTATATGTTACATAGGGAGCATAAGAATTTTAGAAAGGCTTAGGTAAGGCATGGCACGAAATAGGTTGGGAAACACTGGATTAGAATTGAAATACGTCCCACAAAAAATGCCCGTTATCACTGTAACGTTCAATCTATTAACAATGACCGGGATGACGAGTTAATTCTCTGTTTTGAAGACAAATGAAAAACATATGACAACGGTCATTATAAACAAGGTGTAAATATTTGCATTGTTATTCGTGTTTTAAAATAGATACATTTTTATGTCATTTATTACTATGATGTAAAGACGATCAATAAGCATTCTCAAAAATATTTACAAGTCTTATCAGCTCGACTAGAGACAACGTTCGAATAACGACTGGCTGCGGTCATCGTCGATGATATAATCGATGTTTACCCCGATCGATTGATATCCATGATGCAACAACGATGCAAAACAACCGTCTGCGACAAACGCAGTGAACGTGTCAACCGTCTAGTTTCTAATGGACGAACGAAACAAAGAGCTGGAATGGAAATTATAAACACGTAGTATCCTGACGCGAGGCCGCAATGATTCCGAGCCGTTTACTGCAAGGATTATCGCGTTTAGTAACGCGTAGCTCGCGATTATTGGTTGCGCAATGCGAGTCATCGAGGCAGAGAAAAACGGAACGGGGCATCACGCGTGAATGTCAACAGTCATGGGGAAAAAGCTCGAGTTAGAAGAAAAACACGAACGGGATAAGCGGCGTCTGAAGTTCACGCGGCCATCGATCCGTCCGTCCGGTTATAATTCATTTTTCAAACGATACGTCGTTCATGTTCTGCTCGAGTTTCGAAGTTCAACCGAGAGGCTGACTCGTGCCCCAATTCTTCTACACGATTGCGGAGCATGAAACGAGGAAACAATGTCCGTAGAGATTGAAGTTCGCGCACGAGAATAGATACGAGTACGTACATCGAAATCATCAATAATAACATTCAATGAAATATGGATCTATTATTGACAATGTATACATCGTAGTTTCGCTTACGTCGACTTTAACCCTGCTGTTTTCACTCGCGCTTTCACTTATTGACACCGACAAATAATATCTATAATTCTTTCGAAAATTTCTTTCTCAGAAATCTGAAGAGAAATTGCTGTTCCCATGCTTCATGGTAAGTTTGAAAAATTTTAATAAGTCGTCAGATAAAGATTGTCAGAAGAAAATTCCTCGGGGTCAGCGATCGTATCCACGCGCCTACTACTTTTCTTAGATCCATTCGACGTGTCTACAGCGTGCATAGATATCAATTATAGACAAACGTACAAAGTTAGAATCGCTAATCTAATGTTAGAAGCGTGTCGCAGTACATACGTTTTATCTGTAATGTAAGCCACGCGCTTCCAAGTTTTTATGCCTTTTTTTTTTGTCATTAGAATTCCACTAGCTCGTATACACTTTACTGTAAAGTGGCGATAATTAACAGAGCTAATCACAGATGCTGTAATTTGTACCATAAAGTTGCATACCAAAATATTGTTCAACTCTCGAGGCATGATTTCATCGAAAAACGAGTTTGACTTTCAGCTCCTCCAGGTATTAATTACATCAGCTCGAAGTTACACGGTTCAATGGAATATCGAGTGCACTTCATTTCTCACATTCACCGAGCGCGTAGCATCGATCGAAAATCGAGCAACAATTTCGAGCAGTCGGCCAGGTGGGTATCTGACGGTTACGAAAGATCGTGCAACAACGAACGGTGTATCGGCGGTGTTATCAGGGGCTCTTTCGAGGCGGGAACACGATAATCGGAGCTGTCGTGTCCGTCAACGCGAATAGTCCGTGGCACACCTATCGGCAACGGACGTGAAATATGGGCGAAAGTATTTCCTTCGAGGCGTGATCATGTAATATCACTCGCGTAACATTGTGTCGTTACGTTGGATAACGGTTCCTTTTCGAACGGCAACGAAAAATAATCGGCCACGTCAACGGCGACGCGATTTCAGGTGCGATTCGAGTCTTGCGCAACCATCTCGCCCTTCGCAACAATTAACGCGTTAATCGTGCGATTGCTCGCAACGCGAGTCGCAAACACTTGAACGATCTCTTATCAAAGGGTCGAGTACAGGTTGTCCAGCCGTCCGAAATTTCGACGATAGCGTTTCCGGCGGAACAGCGTTACCCACCGGTCGGAATCGCGACAGCAGCTGGCGTGGCACGCCGCGCCGCGCCGCGCCGCGTTGTCCACCACCGTAAGCCCTTCGTGTCAGCCACGGAGAATTACTTCGGCGTGTATAAACGCGAATAGAGTGGCTCGCGAAACATTGTGAAACCCGTTGCGCTACGTTTGCCAGCATTAACGCGGGCCCCGCGGCTTAAACCCGTTGGCAATGAATTCCCGCCGCTGATAGCCGCTTATGTCACGGTGAAAGCTAAACGGGTCAAAAGGCGTAATTAACGCGAACGTAATACTGTTTACGGGGAGGATACACGAGCCGTTCGTATCACGGACTGAAACGTTGGAAAGTTTTGAAAAAAACAAACAATTCGAACTCTCTTCATTTTCACTATAGCGATGCAATAAGGTGAGAATTCAAAGAAACTCGAAATGTTTCTCAATACTATCAAATATTTCATTCTTACAAACGCGTAGTGTAAAAGAGAAACTAGTGGAGTTGTGCGAGTACTCGTAATTTACACTCGCTTCGATTGTTCGAGCCGAGTTGAGCGCTTGAATTTGCCGAATTACTCGAAATCGACGAACGTTTGAAACAAAAGCGAGCTACTCGAAAATTCGAACCGTCGTAAAACTTCGATTTACTTGAAGATGAATTTTCAGCTCGAATATTCGAGTAGCTCGCTTTTGTTTCAAACAGTTCGTCGATTTCGAGTAATTCGGCAAATTCAAGCGCTCGACTCGGCTCTACCGACCGATCATTGTTTCACTCGAAATTCGAGTACTCGAATAACTCGCACACCTCTAGAAACTAGTATACCCATTCCACGATAGGTAAAATTGAAATTCAATCGTAAGCACGGCATTACAAAACGCCTAACGCGGATCTCTTTGTTCGCCACAAAAGAATCTCACGAGTTCTACCAGAGAAAAGAGGAAATGTTGAATGGGACATAGACGCAGGCATTTGAATATCTGCGTTTAACTAGGATGACAAGGCCGTACTCGTGTCGATGACCGATAACCTTACCGATTTTCACGTCTCGAATCGCTGACAGGTGAATACAAACGGGTTGCGCCTCTTCTGCGAATAGTACACCGTAGAAATATGCAATCGGATAACGGAAGCAGGCGTACAGCAAGGTTGCTTTAAGTATTCTATTTTAATTGCTACACTTCACACCACCGTGCACCATGACGTGCGATTGCTGCTCTTGTTTAATTGGGCTTGATTCTACTGTGTTCTTTAATCTATGATCCCCCGTGGCCGCGTGGAATCACAGACGCTAAATTCACGGCTGCACATCCGGTTCTCGTCGCATTCTACGAAGATTATTTCCTTCTTGAATTCCAGCAAAGAGTAGTAGTCGATTTCACAGAATTAATCTTCGAAAGACGCAATATTTTGTAAGTACATATAAAGGAGCAACGCAAGCTTTCGTCGCGGATATTGATTTCTAGAAACTGCAGTTGCATTACGTTACGCGATGTTGTACGGAAGCGAGCAACGTTACATCGTATTAGATTTATTCAATCAACTTCCTGCAATTAATTGAAATGAACAATTAAAACGGTTCGATCCGACGCGTGTAATGTTTTAAAATAGTTGTTTACCGAATAGGTAAGTTTTTTCTTTTTTTTATGACGATCATTGAATTTTATAAGCCGGAGTTTGATGCAATGTTATAAAAACGTACCTATAAACGTTAATCTTTGCGAGCAAACAAAAAGATCGACCTTCACCACTCCCATTCACAGGCATTCACTCCGTATCCTACGTTACGTAAGGTCAGTTACTATCAATCGAGGAAAGGGAGAGATAGCCAAAAGCAAACGGAAATGCTGAAATTGATCTGTAAACAGGAAACATGGAAAGAGATATCTTTATCGGTCGCGGTAAATTTGCCAAAAATCCTACCAGGAAGTGATTTTATTTCCAATGAACGTAATCGATTATTTTTATCATATCCGCTTCTTTCTGTTACACAGAATTCTATGACGATCCATGCCATCATCCATTTACGGAGCACAAAACAACGAAGGTGTCGAGTGGTTTGAACGAGCTGGATCGAAAGAACTTCCTGTTAACGATGAATCGTAAGGAAAAACACGCCGCAACAAACATCCATCGTAATTCCACTAATAATAAAGCGTTGACGCGGTTCGTCGCTTATGCCGAGCGCTGATTATGGCGCTAAGACTTCTCGGAAGAAAGGCGATTGCATTCGACTGGCGGCGATGTAAATAACACGCGGTGACGCACAAGAAATTCCATAGGAGTCGCTATTTATAGGAGAGTGATATTGCAGATATCCTGGACGCAGGTACGTTAGCGACCAGGTGGTAATAGCGAAGGCCGAAAGGAATTCCCTTTACCTTCGATCAGACCGATTAAATATGCGCCGGTTGCTCGTCCTGAATACCTCGGACGCCAACTGAACCGACTTCCAGGAAAAATAGAGATTGTTTTCGAAAATATTCTCAAGGAAATTTTCAGTTTCCTTTTTATTTATCGAGGAACACTTCTAAGGGACGAAAAATCACTCTGGAAGATTGCCATATTTTTCAAATTTAACGATTCGACGAATACTGATATTAAAATGGCCAGAGGTGAAACGGAACTGAAATTTTAATTAATTAAGCCACTAATTAACGTATCATGCTGGTCATTGATCGCCTCTAGGCAATCGATTCGTCAATAATCGAGGGAGACTAGATTTTTCAATATCGCAAACAACAAATACTGTATAAAAAAAAAAGCAAGACGATTATGAAACATTTTCTAGATATCTCCTCGAGCGACTTACGCTCGTTCATAAGCGACGACAACGTTTTGCATGCAATGGCGTGTTTACGCCGGCCAACAACAATGTTACGGGCAAATCCTAATTACGTAACTGTGTTACATAACTGTTTTGCCTTGCTCGACAACCAACGAACGAATACTTTCGTGGAGACGTCAAACGCTTTCTTCCTTTCCGCGCTCGAATACGACACGTGGAAGGCGAACGAAGCGAATTCGCGGCTCGTGGTTTACACTGCTTGTAGCTTGCAAATGCACGGAACGATCCATCTTCCGTTTCGTTTAATTGGGCTTGATAATCGAACGAGATTACGAGATGTCGTGATAGTGGTAGGCTACGTTCTAATGTCCCTAATGTCCATAGCGCTGTATAATTATCCATGCTTATTAAACGGTTATGTAAAATTCGAATTTATCGCCGCGGCGGCGCCAAACGCGCGGCGACGTTAGGTAAGCTGTAATCACTGAAAAACTTCGATGAGAACGCATCGTTTTTCTCGTGTACACGGTTATTACGACAAATTGCGTTCGGGGAAACACGCGAACGATAGGGGAAATCGTCTGGACGGTGATTTTCAACTTGTCGTTCTTCTGCGACGTTTATGCGGGAAAGGGGGAGGATGACAAGTGGGGGGCGTCGTCATTTTTCCTAAGAAAGTCTACCATGCTCGGTATTATGCGCAAACAGTTGCTCGGAACTCATCAAAACAGAATACCTTATTTAAATGAAATTAATTTGTATAACTTCTCAAAAAACCTCAAGTCATTTGGTCCAATTTTAAATGAGGTATTCTGTTTTATAGAGTGTCCGAATACTTTTCCGAGCCACTGTATGTACACATCGACGATCATTATGTGCAGAAATTTAATTTTAAAAATGGTACAAAGAGTGCAGATGAACAGAAATCGAATGAAATGTTTACGTCTGAATACATTCGTATAAAAAAAAAAATAATAAAGTTGGAAATTATTCACATCGGACATTTTGGACAGATCGTCTGGGCTGTATGTGTATACATATGTATATATATATATATATATTTATATGTATACAAATTTTTTCGCGTTCGTCAGCCAGTACAGGAAGGAGTGGCTATAAATAGCGGCGTAACGTCACGCGGGAAACCGAAAAAAGGTCGTCGACTCGTTTCACGCGCGCCACTGTTCATTCATATTTATAGCGATGAATGAAAACTCCGTGCCGAGTAGTTTTGATCAAGCGACGGAAAGTCCGTCGACATCGTGCCCGTCCCTCTCTCTCCCTTTCTCTTTCGCCTTTTTTCCTGTTTTTGGACACCGGAAAATAAAAAAATATTCTCTACGTGCTCTGCTGCTTGAAAACGTACGCGATTTCACGGAATTTCAAATTAGAATTTTGTTTATAAATTTGATAAATATTAGAATCGATTCGTGAAGAAAATAGAAGATGATTAATAATATAAAATGAAAATACGCTAATTTAGGCTTTTATTTTGGAAATTCGTTGCTCCGGAGTGAATCTAAAGCCGTGTTACAAATGAAATGATCTTTGAAACGAGGAAATAGGATTTCTAACGTTTAATCGGAAAAATTGCCACCTGGAAAACTGCCTCTTTCCTATCAACGATCATTTTTCCGGCCGTATGTTCGCTTTTTCGACGATTCTTTTCTTTCGCGATCGAAACAAGATTAGCCGCGAACAACAATTCGATACGTGACCGAAAACGTTGTTATCGTCTTCTCGATTTTACCTGCCCCGTCAAGGCTCTCACGAAACTCTAGAAAACTCACGAGAGTATAAATAAACGCCGTGGCTAGTTTTTCGTTTTCCTATCATGGCCTTCTCTTTTTCCTTATGTTTTCGAGATTAAACGACAGCGTCTCGACTGCCAGAAAACACGGTTCGATGATCCACGAAAGCTGCGATAAGAAGGGAAACGAGATCAATATTGAACGAGGGCTGCATGAAAATAAGAAATAATCGCGGTGAAAAGCGGCCAGGGGATCGACGATATCGTTATCTAACCCTTCCAGTTCACATATCTGGGGAAAAGCAACGCCGCTATGGCTCACTTCCTGAAGATAATGCACGCACCGTGCCAGGTGAAATAAGCTCGATTATTCGCACGCCACGACTTGACTGACAACGAATGCCTGTTAATTTTCATTTTCTCAAAACTGAAAATTTCGAGAAACTTCAACCGCGAAACATGAGTCGATTTACATTAAAATCAAACGACGAGTGATATTTGTCCTTCGAGTGCAAATGGTTAAAATATTCGCATAATCTTAATAAAATTTATTTACGCGATACGAACAACGTACCAAGTTCTATTTTTATTACCAATAAAATTGAAAATGATCTTGAAGATTTGTGCTGTTTCCATGGACCTTAGGAGGCGTCTATGAAATATGAGCAATGAGCGTAATTGAAAAAAAGAAGGCAAATAAACGATACAAAAACGTTGACCGGTAAACTTTTCGCGGGATTTTCGAGGAGCACACCGGCGCGGCGTTTCACAGCTCGCTTCCTGAAGATAATGTACACAAGCCGGGTCTGAAACGGGGTCAACTGTTTGCGCATAACGCCTAATGGAAACGAGTACACGGTGGTCGGCTGAATGACACGCACCGCGTGTCAAGGCTTTTTCGCGTCATTTATTGCACGCCACGGTTCGCGAAGTTAATTAAACTTCGCCCTAATGATACGTAATATATATAATTAACTGCGTACAAGCCGTGTTCGTGTACCGGCGATTTATTGTACACGTGCCGCGCGAAAAATTTGCTCGATCAAATAATGCACCAACCACGAGTCTACGCGTCTGTTTATTTCTCTTTCATTTTGGTTACTGTATCTGATAATGTTGTCAAATAAATAAAATAAATGAAATTTATTTTTATTTCACCCTCATCTTACACCCTTGGGCACTTAATATTAACCCTCGGATGGCGGACCATAGAGAGAGCCACAATTTTCATATTCTAAATTTGGCACTGTTCTTTTAAAATTATTCCTCTAATAACTGAAATGATTTCACACCATCCCACAGTAGATATTAATTAAACCGAAGGAATGAAACTGATTAAATAAGTAAATAAATAACATTTTTTTTCTTTGTTTTAATGACTGCAATACGCAATTAAGGATTTTCGCTGTTTCTTTTTTTATTTTTTCTTGAACGCTCGATATCAATGTAAATGTTCTCACACCATTTTGCGGTATTATGCCGAAGGACTCGAACCAGTCGAATAAACAAGTGAATAAATAATATTTTACCTTTATTTAGATGCATGTAATATTCATTTACAGTTTCGCACTTTTCCCCGGATGCCATTACCGATAAAAATGTTACCGTATCAGAACTTTCACAGCGATAATTATACCGAAGGACACGGGTTTTTTACATATAGCCAGCAAATAAATATATAAATAATTTTGTTTATAAATGGAATGTTATCGGCGTTTAAATTTTCCTGGTGCGGATTAAAGCTAACGGTGTATTTGATGCGCGTGTAACCATTTGACGATGTCGGACAAGGTACCTACACATAAATGAATCCCTTTTGCGACTTACTTAGCGTTACGAGTATGTTATTTCGTCGTTTGCGAACGATTATCTAATGCGCTCATTATTTAACATAAATTGTGATAAGTCGACCGGCAATTTACCGTTTCTAAGGAAAACGATTGAACGTTAGGTGGATCGTGGTTACGCAACAATTAAACTGCGTGGAAATTGTCGGAAAACGCGAATCAAGGGTAACAAATGAATTGTGAATCGAAACCCCCTTGTTGACACGTAACGGGGAGTCCTTCGAGCAACAAGCCTCTATGAAATTATTGACATTGAGCATAGAACGGATCGAAATAGTCGGCAAGGACAATCTCTGAAGCGGAAATTCTCTTACGAAACAGTGAATTTCTTGTGGAACGCAAGAATTCTGTTACGCGATTCCGTACGAAGCTGCGTAGTAAGTTTCGAATCGGAAACAATAATTTCCGTGCTGATGTAACCGTTTCGGTGAGCGAATAATGAAATAAACATCGTCTTTGTACGTTCGAACGTTCGAAAGGACGTCTTCTTTTCCTTTTCTTTCCAATTTACACGAACCCTTTTTTCGATCGATTAATTGAGAACGATCCGTGAATCGATCCTGGTAGTCGATGATTTTCCTCGAAGAAATGAAAGAAAATAAATTCTGGAGTTTCTTAGCGTTCCTATGTAGTCAGCTGATTAAGTAAATGAAAAGACATTCTTCTTCTTTTATCTGTGTCTCGTTATCGCTCCACCGAGTGGCACAATTTTCCAAAGTTTTTGCCATGGCGTCGAACGCGACCCCGTAAATTGTTCTGCGAAAGGAAAAACAATCTGGCGGGAAACGGAGTTTCCCTTTCGTCTGGTTGGGAATTCAGTTAGATGGTCCTTCGGTTCGAAGACAAGAGGATTGGTCAGTTGGCTGTGTTCGATAGAGTTGCCTCGCGGTGTCCCTAGGGAGGACCAGGTCTCGTCCAGTTCCTCGGTAATTACACCGGGAGACTTGCTCCTTTTTGAAGTTGGCACGCCTGCGGAATAAGTTTACCGGCTGGAAAGTCAACCCGACGCGCCTCCTTCGTCGTTGATTAAGCCTCCTGAGATTAGCTTCCTGATGGAGCTGGAATTATCTTATCCCGGACTTCCATTATCCTCGGCGACCAATGGGGGAGTATCGGGACAGTAGGGAATTTTGCTTAGGTGTTTCTTCGACTCTTATTCGCTTTGAGAACAAAGTCATCGAATTCGCGCGATCTTCTATCGCGGAAACGTCGAACAGGAAAAGGAAGGCTCGAAGAAGTGATTACAATCGATTCTCCTTGAAGCTGTCGACCATCGATTAATATCTTTTTACTTGCTTCGCTGACGCCAACATAGTAACTTCATTTACCGCATGATTTTCATGGAAAATTAATATTAGACACGGTGCACGCGCGGTTCCCGCGTATGAAAGACACGCGTGAATCATTGATTCTGATCTCTTCAAGACAAACGGACACAGTGGGTAATTGACGAGGTGACGACAGTACAGCAATTAAAGGAACACGCTCGACACTTCCGTCCTGTAATTGCTCGGTTTGCTTTCGTCCTTCCAACAACTTTGATCTACGATTGACTATCGTAGTTAAAAGTGTGAGGATTGCAAACAACGGAAACATAAGAGAAGAGAATTTCACTCGACGAATATATGGTTCCGTTGAAAATTTACGTTATCCGGTAGAGATAATTACGTGAAAGAACGAATTGATCGAGTGCGACAAACTCGGCTACGCTCGGGACGTCTCTGCGATTTTCTTCGCGATTTTTATAAAATAATTTTTATGAAATAGAAAATTAAATTCAAATTGGGGCTCTCTTCATGGTCCGCTGTTCGAAGGTTATTTCCAAATGAAAATTTAGTTCCAAAACTGTTGCCATGAAAATTTCATGTCTAAATATGCAGAAACACCTTGGAATCGACGCAACACGCGCGACGACCAATACCGCCCGTATAATCGACGTTTCTCGAATTATATGCTCGCGTCACTGTCGTTCTTTCCACGAGGTGGCAAGGTGCTATTTGAATTTCCATCGAAGTGATCTGTGATCGTTTTCGATCAGATATACAAACAAAAAGGAAGGAAAAAAGCGGAGAAGACCTTTAGAAGAGTAAAACGGGAAGAGCGCTTCCTGTTCCCCTATCGTGTCCCACGACCGTGACTCGGTGACATTGTTCGTTATTGCTTGAAATCTTTTGAGAGGAAAAAGAAGAAAAAGGTGAACCAGAGGAGAAGAATTGGAGCTAGTAGTTTCATCGATGAGATCGCAGAATTTTTCCAGGTGACCCTCGACGAATTTTTCGACGCTCCTTCTCAACGAAAACCGATCCATCGAGAAAACGTCGTAGAAAGACGGTAAAAGTCTAAATCGATCGTACACGACCGGCATACGGGCATTAGCATAATCCAATGACTCGAGAATACATTGGTGATTTCCTCTGGCGGCTCAATCACGGAAACGTCTGACGTGCTTGAATAATGAAAGATACAATATTGACAGGTTCTACGGCGAATCGTTTAATTATTCAAACTTGACTCGTTTCACGGAGATACTTGCGTTTTTATTATTTAACAAACATTGAACAAGGACGTTTTCGTGGGAAACAATCATAGAAACGTGTTCTAAGGAACCTTGTACGTTTGATTTAAGAAACATATGTTCGATGAAAAATGTAAGGATCTCATCTAATAATAATTGAAGGTAATATGTGGTAAAATATTCCAAAATAATAAATATTCATTTTCCTTTAAAAGTCATTGACGTAAATAAGATTTTTTTCTGGGATCAACAACGGTTATAGAATCTCAGAATTTTTGGACTTTTGGATTTTAGAATCATAGAACAGTGGGGGCAGTCTACATTTATGGAGGGGCCAAGTTCACCCTGACCCCTACCTAGTTATGTCACTGTTAAAATGCACAGATCACGTCTATCACTATGAATTATGTAATTTCATCACGTTGTTTGAATTTTCGCAATAACCATAAACTCTAGACATCTCGGGTAACGTCGTATAATCTAACGTTGAATATATTTATCGAAGATGTTGGTGACCCTCCCTTAGCATGTCCAGCCGGTTTTACGCCGCTTCTACACCCCGTTGCTATTTTAATCGTTCATCCTTCTGTCGAGATGAAATCGAGATCTCGGTTCGTCGCAAAACCGAGAAACCTTGTTACACAACTGTCCCCGTGTTCTAGAACGTCTCACTTTCTTTACATCGTATTTCACCCCTCGAATGTCGATCGGTATTGTTTCGGGGTGGTTACAACAAATAACAGGAGCATACTATTCCTGGAAATTTGGGGGAATCGACGTATAAAAGTACGCAAATTACTTTCTTCGTAGCAATAAGTAAAGATTTTTGTATAATTTCAATGAAATTTTGACCTATTTTTCTTTCTACACTGCCCCGATCGCAATCGAATTCGACTTTGGATTCCCTCGTATTTACACACTTGATCGTTTACCAAACATGGCAAAAAAAGCTTTACCTTTATTTTTATTAAAGGCGCACGTTAAGAAAGCAGGTGTTGTATCGAAAAAAAAAAGTAACTCGAGCTAATAAAAATCTGTTTTTCCTCCACCCTAATGGTACAGCCATTAAAACTGGTGTAAAATCAAGAATAAACCACCTTTCTAACCAGTGTTTTACGTAATTTGTTTTCAACATGGCTGTAAATTCTTCGAATTTCTTCGAACTTTTATCAAAAACGATTGCCAGTCTATAAAAGATTTTCCAAACAAGAGCAACAAGTCAAAGACTCGAAACAGCTTCTCGAAGCAGGCTTCTACAGAAGGGAATATACAGCCAGGTTATTAGGGGTTCGAACTCGCAGCACTTACGTCACGTATCTTTGTTTGCACCTACCCCTTGTGTCCCCGCTCCAACCGGGCTGGAGCTCGTTCGCGTCGAGAAAGAAGATCGAGTAACCGAGGAAAAGGTAAACCAGACAATTTACACGAGTAAACGATCGTGTACCCGCCTGCATGTTACAGATAAGTTACACTCGTAGTCGTTACCTTGCATTTTCCATCCTCCACCACCACCTTCTCTTTCTCTTCACCTTTCTCGCTGTAGCACCCTTTGACGCGACGTGGGGATGAAATTCGATCGAGAATATCTGTTTTCGTAAAATTTGAAAATTTCCATTTGGAAACAGGTTTCTAAGGGTCAGATTAAATTTCTCGAAGCAGGTCACGCAAAGAAATTCTATTTTCTGTTTTTCCTTCCCGGACCATTTTAGGCCTGGCTGACTGGCAGACCTGTCTGTCATAGCCGAGCGAGATGTAGAAGAAACGCGCAGGGGGTTGAAATACGA